CTTTTAATTTCTTTCAAGATCTTTTCCTTTACATTTGAAACTTGGCTGTTTGGCACAAGAGGCCTAGCTTTCAACTCATCTACAGGCAGATTTGGTTGGTGTCTTAATACAGCAAACCATGTCACAGGCTATCATAGCAAGTATCTTTAAACAACAAATAATTTCCTTCAGTACAGTTCTATAGTCAACTAACCTTCTGGTCTTAATTTGGTTTCCTTGGTAAGTTTATCTACTAGGGAGACAATGTATCAATAGGCTGATAGAAATGTCTGGTCTGCTGGCAGTTATAATTGTAAAGTAAATTAATAGATTGTTTTTCAGGTGTACGTTAGTCTCCTGCAAGTTTTATTAAGTTGGCTTAACTACCCAAAGTCCTTATCGCCTTCAATGAGTATACTCAAATCATAAGCTGAAAGGGCAGATCTTGGACCTTGGTAACCTCACTTGGAGACAGCCTGGGAGGCCCAACCTGGATCGCTTGTTAGCCTCTAATCAAAATCATTATAATTACCAGCCCTCAGGGAGCCACTGGATCTCAGATCTCACAGTTACCACTTACTCTTGGCATTCCTTAATAGCTTAGCAAAGGTCATCAATGTCTCCTACAAAGCTCCTAATAAATCCGGAGATAGTTTTTTCACTTAAACACCTCCATTGTACAATTCTGTCCGTAATGAAACTTTTACCTCTAAGAATCATTTTTATGAGAAGAATGGTGGAAGTATATAAAGGAGGTGTGCAGGTGAGCATCACAAGAAATTACTATAAAGAAGAAAGGAGGGCAGGGTGCTGTGGCTGACACCTGTAACCGCAACACTTTGGGATGCTAAGGCAGGCGGATCACTTGAGGCCAGGAGTTTGAGACCAGCCCAGCAAACATGGTGAAACCCTGTCTCTACTAAAAATACAAAAATCAGCCACAGTGGTGTGCACCTGTAATCCCACCTACTCGGGAGGCTGAGGCAGGAGAATCACTTGAACCTCGGAGGCAGAGGTTGCAGTGAGCCGAGATCGTGCCACTGCACTCCAGCCTGGGTGACAGAGTGAGATTCTATCTCAAAAAAAAGAAGAAGAAGAAAGAAGGGAAGGATGAAGAATGGAAATGGGATGGGGGGAGGAAGGAATGAAGGAATGGAGGGAGGGAAGAAGTGAAAGAGAGAAGTACAAGTAGTAGTTCAAGTTTGAATTCTAGATCTACTACTTACTAGCTGTATGAACTTGGGCAAGTCACTTATACTTTCATTTTCCTTAAAAATAAGTCACAGACATCCTTCCACGTTAATAGTCATTCATATTCTTTTCAATTACTGCCTAGTATTCCAGTACAACGTAACTAATGTACCCATTGTCTTTTGCTGTGCTTTAGTGTCCCTCATCTGAAGAAATGAGAATAATGTAACTTATTTCATATCTGTGAAGGTTGGAGTTAATGTGCAAAAGTACTTAGGACGCCGGGCATGGTGGCTCATGCCTATAATCCCAGGACTTTGGAAGGCCAAGGTGGGAGGATCATCTGAAGTTGGGAGTTCGAGACCACCCTGACCAACATAGAGAAACCCCGTCTCTACTAAAAATGCAAAATTAGCCAGGTGTAGCGGCACATGCCTGTAATCCCAGCTACTAGGGAGGCTGAGGCAGGAGAATCGCTTGAACCTGGAGGCGGAGGCTGCGGTGAGCCGAGATGGCACCCTTGCACTCCTGCCTGGGCAACAATAGCAAAACTCCATCTCAAAAGAAAAAAAAGTACTTAGGGCAATGTTTGGCACATTGCAAATAGTTTTCTATTTTATTTCTAATAACTTTTTCTAATTGATTGTTTTCGCATCTTGCTACTGAAATTGTAGAAGTCCTAAAACCAATTTTTTAAAGTCAGAAAATAAAGCACAATGCCTATTGATTATGGAGATACTTATTTCCATAAACATAACTAATGAGATTACGTTTGTCAAATTTTAATGTGCATAAATGTAATTTAATCAACTGGGCATCTTGCTAAAACGCAGATTCTGATTCCAATGGTCTGGGGTGGGACTTCAGACTCTGCATTTCTAACAAGTTCTCAGGTTATGCTCATTGCTGCTTGTCTGCACATCACCCATTGAGTACTCAGGATACAGATGGTTTGATTCAAAGGGAAAAAATACATAAAGGAAAAAAGTAGATATTATCTGTAAAATGAAGTTAATACTTACCTCATAAGATTGGTGTGAAGATAAAGTGAAATATATCTAAAACGTTAGAATAGCCATCAATGGGGAACACCCTACAATCATATTTTATTGCTTTATTGCAGGATTGCACAATAAATATATTACTCATATATGAGTATAGTATGTAATATACAGAGGAGCTGTGTATTAGACATTAATTTGTCTAATGATTGTAATATGCATGTTGCATATTATGTATGACAAAATTTTATTTGTTGGCTTGCTATCTCTTTTATGGTGTCTGTTGCCTTACAGAAATTTTTAATTTTTATACAGTCAAGTATTTCTCTTCTGGGTTCTTTTGTTTTCTTTGGAGCTTAGGAAGCTTTTCCCTGTCCCTAAATAATAAAATATTCTCCCAAATTTTTTCAAATAATTTCATTGTTTTTGTTTTGTTCTGAGATAGGGTCTCACTCTCTCATCCAGGATGGAGTACAGTGGCTGATCACAACTCACTGCATTCTCAAACTCCTGGCTCAAGGGACCTTCCAGCCTCAGTCTTTTGGGTAACTGGGACTATTGGCATGTACCACCTCCATACCCAGCTAGTTATTTTATTTTTTATTTATTTTTTAAGAGACAGGGTCTTGCCATCTTGTGCACACTAGGCTTGAACTTCTGAGCTTAACCAATCCTCCTGCCTTAGCCTCCCAAAGTACTAGGATTACAGGCATAAGCAACCACACCCAGCCTGTTTTAGTCTTAATGGTTATGATGGGAAGGCGGGGGAGAGTTCAAAATGTTTTTTAAAATACACCTACATGAGACTTTCCCCACTGGTTTTATGGTTTATTCAATATTCTATTATCATTGCTACAAGAAAGAATCAAAGAAACATATTACATAAAATATATGGATAAGCTAAAATGTACATAGAACAGTAGTCCTAGCCTTTTCCATATATCTTTTATTCAACCTATTTTCATATTGACACTCCAGATCAACATTCATAAACCATTTAACTATCAAACATAATTGCAAATTAATATTCTTAATTATTGCACATTGATTCTGCCCATATGCAATCCACTTGTATAGTGCTAGTTGAGTACTAGAGAAAAAATTATCTTCATTTAGGTCTCTACTTAAAGCACATCTCATTAATAATCAAGATACATTCAAGAATTTATCTTGAAATGTTAATGTTATAGGCAACTAGGAGGATTAATTGAAAGTATTAATCTGCATATACCACCGTGGGCATTCTATCAAACCTCAGGTCCTCCCACCCTTTTCCCTACTTTATCTTTTACCATTCACACTACTATTTGCAAAGTGGTATTGTATACTTACTGTATGTCTCACCATGAGAGCTGGGGCTTTTTCCTGTTATACTACCCTCTAGCATCTAGAACAACTCAGATGTACCTCATAAGATTGGCTGAATAAATCACTGAATAGTTTCAAAAAGTTAATGTAATCAAGTCAAAACCAAAAAGTGCCCAGTATGCTAGAAGTGGTGAATCTTTACCACGTCAGCCATTGGAGTTAGGCCAGTTAACAATGTACTAAGGAACAAACTAAATAACATGTGTGTCTGACTGATCTAGGAATTCATACTACTCTAAAAAAATGAAGTATTGCTCTAAAAAGATAACTATCCAGTTTGTCTATTTTAGGCATTTAGGCATAGAAGGTTTAACTTTTCTGCATTCCAGTGTGCAGTCATTGGGTGTTACAGCAGTTTCCTCATTCCTTGAACTACTGCAACATGTTCTAACATCATAGTTCCAAAAGTGGACTCCCTGACTGCTGCAAAGGTGAGCAGTTCCCTAGGTACCCCAATACTGTATGTTTAGATGGGAGTAATTTCTGGAGACTCAAGCTTGAAATCACTCCTCCAAACCTTCCAATGATTTTGTAAGAAACTATGTAATTTCAAAACTGCCAATATAAATCTGCATTCCTCTTCAAATAGCTAGAGTGGTTTGTTTCCTGAAAATTTGTATATGATCAAGTTTAAAAATAATATAAACTACACAGAACTATTTCAGACTATGGGGAGGGCAAGCAAGACTAACACACAAAAACATATGTGTACACATGAGGAAAAAGATCACTAAATACACCAAAATGTTAATGTGCTCATCCCTGTTAATAGAAATACGGTAATTTAAATTTTATTTTTACTTATCTGTTTTCTCTAAACGTTTTTTGAGAATACATTAAAAGCCTTTTTAAAAATTATTTCAAATAAACAAAATCCTACAGGATAAAAATATCTAAATGTATCTTGAAATGTTAATGTTAGAGGCAACCAGAAGGATTAATTAAAGTATTAATCTGCATATAACACCATAATATACACACAAATACGTATCATGGTCCTAACTAGGGAAGCAAGTCCCCGTGGTTGTGACTCCCGAGCAAATATTTGTCTATTCTAGTGGCACAGATGACTGCTGTTAGAAAAAGGGCAGCTATCTTGGGAACTAAACATATAAGGTGAGAGTAGCTAGTGCTGCAGCTGTTGGCAAGCTTTTTGTTGATAATACCAGAAGTACATCCCTTAGAACTGGTCATTTTGAAAGGCATAAAATAGAATGGAAGTGCCTTCACCTATTTTGAAAGGCATAAAATAGAATGGAAGTGCCTTCACCTACCCAATAATTAAATAAAATTTTAGAAAAGACTAAACATGAAACGAGCAAGACTTTCTATAAAATATCATTAAAAAAACTTTCCACATAGCATTTATCTATTTATGGGTTGCTCTTTATTCTTCCATTTTCTGTACCCACTAGCTTCATGACTTAGTTTCAAACCAGCAATATATGGCACCCAGACAAAGACAAGTCATACTTCTTTATTCACAGACAGAAGTAATCATGAAGTATCACAAGGGATTTGCAATCATCCAAGAAGATGCAGATAAAATAAACCATTCTTAAGCTATGGAAATTCCTATTAAGGAATTTTGTTAGATTAATATGAAAAAATCCTTATATCTATTAACATGGTCGTTTTACAAAGATATTTTTCAAATGTCATTTGATATTACTTTTGTTAACATTTTCAGTGACAATTTTGATGAGCTCTAATTTTGGATCTTTTATGGCTACTGCTTTCTGTGACTTGAGAAACCTTTGACTAACCCCCAAGTCACAAAAATAATCATCCATGTTTTCAGTTAAAAAGCTCCATATTCTTAAAATATTACATTTAGGTCTATGATTCATCTCCAAGTCATTTTTGTGAGGTAGGGGGTCATGTTCATTTTTTTCTATATGGATATTAAGCTATTCTGGCTCCATTTGTTGAAAAGACTTTCCTTCTCTGTTGAATTGTTTTGCCACCTTTGTCGAAATCAAGTGATCATATAAATGTTGATCTGTTTTCAGGCTCTCTCTTCTATTCCATTGATTTATTTGGCAATCCTAGTGCTAGTATCACACTGTATTGATTACTAAATACAACTTACCACAATAATCCTCACATTGCTTAACAAAATTTAAGCCTCAATAGGAAAGGATATACAAATTAAGCTGAAATAAATGAATGGGATCAAGATGAGCCTTCCTTAAAAATCCATTTTTAAAAATTATATCATGGCTTTGAAAACACTCCATAATTATTACTGTATCAAGAGCAAAACATATTTACCCACAAATAACTGAGAAACTACATTTTTCATTACCTCCAACTGAAATTATGTATGAAAAATATTTCATTAGTTTTTCTATCAATTTCCCATCAGGTTTTTCTCCATTAGTTCTAAGTCATTTAATACCACAATCACTAAGCTTAAAAACAATCCTTAAAAATTCATGTGCTGAAACTGGAAGATGGGTACACGTTCTCCCTAATAAAATATATTATGCTAAATTTATTTTACAATAAATAATGCTAAAAAGTCATGTATCAACCTCAGAAATATTCTTGATAAAGAAAAAAGTAGATTACTTCCTTTTAAAAAGAAAGTTTTATAAAGTCTTCTTTAAAGTCTGACTTGCACAGGAAGATTAAAAGTAAGAAAATTATTACAAAGCAACTCCCAAAATCAATTTTTAAAAATCAATTGTGAGCAAACTGTATATGGCTCTTGGAAACTGCAGGCTGTACGAAATTTATTCAAATTGGCATAGAAAGATCCCCCATCACCACTACTATCTTTTTAAAAAAGCAGATAGCATGAACTGTCAAACCTCCAATTTTTTAATATACAGCTTATGAGCTTGAAAAAGTATTCCATTGAGAGTAACACCAACATTCTTTAAGATTTACAATTTCTTCTTAACCTGAAATTTTGCTTTGAAGCGTAATACTCAAGACCTTCCTGAAACAGTTCTCTACTACATAAACAAATAACCCCAAACACTTGAAGAAAAATTACTAAAATAAAATTGAGATGTTTATTACTTTTCTACTGACAGCAGTGAAAATCACTGGAAATTATACTTTTGTCCTTTTTAAATGATTTACATTTAAATCATACTTTTTCAAATAACTGGTATAGCAGATAAAATTCAGTTTTAAAATCCTCAAAACACTCAGATATCAAAGATAGAAATACTGATTTTTTTCCCATTAATGATGATAAGAAATAAGACATCCAGTTTCATTAAGATCTGACAATTGCAAATTTTAAGTATTTAAATTACAGATAAGGAGTATCATTTGTGCATTTTCTAGGTTCATATGGTAGTTACACATCCAGAAAACTAACAGTTCTCAGATTCAATGTCAAATAATGGAATTTGGGCAAGCACTCTTAATATCACTTTCATTTAATATGCACTACATGCACATGATGCAGGTAGGGAAGAAGTTTATGAATCCATGCATTAAAGACAAGACAGGCTGGCACTACCGCCAAACGTGCACTGAGCCAATTAGGATGTTGCTCAAGGTTCTTTATACATAATGATTTCCATGAAAATATGTGCAGAAGCAGAAATGTGTACACATCCCAAAACATCCTCTTCATTTGGTTTCCTGAGCTTTCTTTGCGTTCTGTTTTTCTTTTGCCTAAAAATTAAAAATAGTATGTTACAAAATTTTAAAAGTCAGTTTTAGACTATATTAAAATAAAATGTGCCTAAGAGGGTATTCTCAAGATGAAAGGTTTGAAATACATTGTTTCTAAGATTTCTAAAGCATTATGTTTTATAACTTGAGACTTATAACAAACTTTTCCTGGACAATTACATAGTTATTTGCTCTAAGAAAGGATCTTGTTTGGTTTGCAGTTCTTTCCTATCTGAAGGTAAAATGAATTATTATAATTATAATAATTTAAAAATTCCATAAAGTCAAACTCATTCATGAGTATTCCAAAACAATATATGTACACATATTTGCCTATTTCCGATTCAAATGAATATAAGAAAAATCTTACATTAGTTTCTGCAAATGTGAATAAATGAGTTTAACCTAACAGTTTAAGTGAGTTTAACAGAATGTCACTAAAGGATTATGTATCCCTGGTGTCAACAAACTTTATTTATATGACTTAAAACCATGTTCTTCATGACAATTATATAGCTTGAACACAGTACTTCTGTCTTATTCTTTAGCAAATGAAGCCAGAGCTTATAGATGTTATCAAGCTTGACCAAAGTCCCACAGCTAGTATACAGTAAGTCCTCAACACAGATCAAAGACATATGCTTTATAGCATTGCTTCTCAATGTATATACCAAAGACTTAGAGATCCTGTTAAAATGCAGACTGATTTAGTAAAATGCCTGAGGTTCTGTATTTCTAACAAACTCTCAGATGATGCCAGTTCTGCTGGTATTCAGAAGACATTTCTAAAGCAAGATTTTAGAGTACTACAACACAATATTTTCCACTGTGCCACTACAGAAGAGTCAATAAATTTCTACATTATACAACTTTTTAAAACTTCCTTAAATAAAAAATAGAGCAATTAAAACAATTATAATCTTTTTGTGATGTATTAGGTACTATAATTATTACTTAACAGTAAGATAAAACTTGAGTGTTGTGCCTTAGAATAAGAGCAAATAGTCTGCATGCCATATTAAACATTATAAAATTAATTGCCAACATCAATGTTTTTAGTTAACAAACATAATTTGTAATTTGGTATGTGTATCGCATCTCAAAGTTTTCTTTCCTCAAATAATAAACATAATTTGGTTTTAGGCATAATTTAAAATAAAAGTATGTGCTTCTTTCCTTATTGATCTCGGAGTATACTTAGTAGAATACTGAGAAGGATTAACAAGAAATACATTTACTGGTTTCTGATATAAACTTTACAATGTAATTAAATGAGTAAACATATAAGGCAGAGTGTTCATACATTTATTAAAAAGTTATCACCATTAATTGAGCATTATGGTGAGCACTAATTTATATACTTTACAGATATGATCTCATTTAATCATCAAGAATGTGAAGTAGGTATGATTCCCAGGTTACAGATGAGAAAGAGGTTATAAGAAAGTAAGTGCCTAAAAGCACTAGCTAGTAAGTAACATATATAAGATTTAAATTCAAAGCCTGTATTTTGGTCTGCTTTTGTTAAAAAAAAATCATATTTACAAATAGCATGGAAAAATATATACTGTTAAAAATACTTTCCTTGAATGGCGTGAACCCAGGAGGCGGAGCTTGCAGTGAGCTGAGATCGCGCCACTGCACTCCAGCCTGGGCAACAGCGTGAGACTCCGTCTCAAAAAAAAAAAAAAAAAAAAAAAAAAAAAAACAAAAAACTTTCCTTCTATACAGTGTACCAATGATATTAAAAAGTACTGACTTAAATCAGATAATTCTGCATTAATAGATATTAATGTAGATACTGTTGTGATTAGCCTTAACTATTCTTCTACCTTATTTCTATTAAGAAATAGAAAAAGATCTGAAGCTTACTTATTAGCAATCGAATCATAAAGTCATAGTAAAATGTGGACAAAATTCAATATTGTGAAGTTTCTGTGGATTCCCCCATAGCAATGGAATTTATGATTTTATATTATGTTAAGTTATTGATAGTCAAAAACTTAAGATAATCATTCATAATTACATAATGTGTAGACAAAAATTTTTTAATCATAAATATACTCGAATAAATGGAAGTCTCACAAATATAATCTTAAATTACATAATTTTATTTTATATTTTAAGAAAGAGATTTGGTACACAATACAAGAAGTTTTACAACTATATATTTTTGGATTACCTCCTATGCAGTTTTTTAATGTGGTATATATTCAATGAATTCATTAGTTAAAAAGTCTCATATAACAAAAACACTTATAGGTCCAAGTTCATTACAGCCATGCCAAGGGAGAATCACTTTTTATTTATTATGTTGCAAATAAAAAGATTTTAGCTCAAATACTTTTATGTCATCACAGACTATAGGCAACTGCCTCAGCTATTCAAAAATCTGATCCTGTAGAATCTCGGCATATAGTAGCACTGCATGGGGTAGCCACATCTTTCCTGTTTGTTTCCTTCTATTCCTTCTCACACCTTGTTCTTTTATCCTATTTTCCCTGAAAACAAAACATAATAAGATCCACTATTCCAATTTATCTATTTCTGAATTCTATAGGTAATTTTTCTTAGAAGCATTACTATTAAGTAACCATCACTGGTCAAGATTTTATATAATTATAAAAGCTAATATTTAGCAGTATTTTCACATATTTTATTTTTAAATTTGCATTTATCTGCAGAAAATGATATTTTAATATGACAAAATAAGATGAACAAAAATATATTCTTGCAAAGGAAACTGATATATTGCTACAGATTAAGTATTCCATTCCAACCACGTATTTAGAACTTTATGGAAGTGAAATTTTAAGTGGCTATAAAGTTATTTAGCAGCTACCTTGTGCTTGCTGGGGATCTTCAGCCTGACTTTATCCTGGCATTCATCAAAATAATACTATTTAGCACAGTACCATAATTGTTCATTTATTCCTTTCCTAAATCGTATCATGAGTTGCTTAAGAGAAAATAACACATCTCAGTTATACATACATCCCTAGACCTTAACAGAGTGCCTGGAATATCCTTGCAGCTAGATAAATGTTTGATGAACAATTTAAAACATTTCAACAATTCCAATTAAATGAGTCTAAGCTCCTTCAGAACCTAGGAGAATAATAGTTATTGCATGCATACAAGAAACAAATCTATCTCAATATTGTTTCTGGAATATTAATAAAAGAACAACTTAGAGAAATAAGCCACTAGAAGGTCAATAACTACTTTCCCTAAGAAAATGAAGGCAAACACAACAGAGTTGGTGTTCCACTAACATCAGGTATTCATATGCTGCCACCTTGTGTCCAAAAAATGTGAACTAAGGAATAAAGATTCTAATGTTAAGCTGACAAGCTGTTGTTCTCTAACTATGCTCTCAAAAAAAATCTGGGGATATAGTGTAATTAAAAATCAAACAACAGTGGTCCTTTTACTTACTAATTTGCACACACAAAAAATTCCGTTCACAGATCAATTTTAATGCAAAATTTATACATTTAAAATTTGTCTAAGGGTCCTGGTCCCTAGTAACATTTATCTAACTTAAAATATGATGCATCACATATTTAGCACATTGTATAGTTATTTTAATATTTTTAACAGAAAAATATTTGATAGGGTTAATAACATATCTAGGTATTCTTGTTAATCAAGCAATTTTGAGAACCACAGGACCCTGTATTAATCTAAAACTTGGAATACAACCTGAGATGCACGAACAGAAAAAAACCTATAGTGGAAAAGAGATTTAGCAGTCTTCTGCAATAATTTTTACATGTAATGCTAAAATTTGGGTCACATGTTTCAATCAATAAGGTATATACACAAAAAACTTATTAGCTCACATCTCATATTATTTAGAATGTATAACACAAAACAGCTTGGTTGAAATGTATCTTTGCTTTGTAAACTTAAAAATTAATAAGGAAAATATACCTACCATGTATTCTCGTCTTTAAGTTAATGGTCCAAAATTTTATTTGCCTAGTAGTGTCTTCTCAAAGTGTTTCTCAAACTGTGGTACACAGACCAGTTGCATTAGAATCACTTGGGGAACTTATTAAAGAATCCTTCCCCTATATCAGAATATCTGGGGAGGGGCCAGGTAACACGTATTTTAAAGAATATCCACTGATGTTCACTTTCAGAAACACTGATTGACAGTATGAACTTAAAAACAATTTAACTGCATTTTACTTACTCAACAAATATTTTATTGTTACTTATGAAAAAAATAATAATAATCAGATTTTTTCACTAACTTATGCTAGTTTTCCCTCAGTGGAACGGATGCTAGATTAGAAATAAGAAAGCCTGTTTTGTAGTACCGGCTATTTTTTTTTTTAATCCAACAATGTCCATTCTACTTTTAAATTCTGTTATATCAACTCAAATTTTTGCTAAATAGGAAAATATCTATTATTTCAAGTATTAGCATTAAAAATCTATTTTTGCCTAAAGAAAGAATAGTGTTTTAAATTTTATTTTAATATAGTACAACCTGAGGTCTTGACACTAAGAATCTGGAAGGCTAAAGCAGTGGGGTAATTCTTTATTTTTGTTTTACAGTCTCAGTTGAACTAATTCTTATAGAATATAAAACAAGAATCAAAAGCAAAAGAATAAAAATGTACAAGCTTCCAAAAATTTTACCTCTAGTCATGCAAAAAAAAAAAAAATACATTTTACGTTTTTGGAGAATCTAAACCTAATTTAAGTATCTACGGATAAAATACTTACCTTTTCTACTAGTGGTATTAACTGCTGGTGTTCTGCTAAAGTCTTTAACAATTCCATAATGAAAGGCAGATAATTATGCTTCCTTCTGATATTCTCAATCTGAAAATAAAACAACATCAATCCACACTAACTACATTTCTGCTAATTTTGGTATTTTACTCTTTGCATCCAACTCAAAATAGAAATGGTATAAAATATCCACTCTCATAAGAAAATAATTTTAGAAATAATGAGACTCCACTCCCACTGAGAATAAAGATTAACACAATAAAACACGTGGAGGGAGTTTCTTGGGCGGGGCTTCCTGCCCCTGACTTAGCAAATAATAGACGCCTTTAAAAGTCCAATCTAAGATTACTTATGAAAATGTCATTTATCAAAACAACTAAAGGTCTACATGCTAAATTAACATTTGCTACTTCACCTAATCAGGCAAAGTCTAATGAGACCAGCTTTATTTTGTGATCAAGCACAATCTTTCCTTCAGATTATTTTTTATCGAAAGGAGGTACATTGCAGGAAAAAATTTATACTTCAGTGGAAAACTATGGACTGTCTAGATAACATCCTCTCAAGTTATGTGATTCTAGGCTCTCACTGCCACTGAGCTGTTATATATTCTGCCTGGTAGAAGTATAAGTGATTGCCCTTCTTCCATAGAAAGTTTCCATCTCTTACAAATTTATTTCAACTTCATATAAATTTGAGCTTCTCTGACTACTTCTTTAACTAGAGTTCCTTCAGTTAATTAATTAAATTAAAGCTTAACACGTTTGTTTTATAGCAGTATGAGAATCATTTGATCTTTTTTTAAACAAAGCATTCCCAAATAATAAAACAGGAAACTTTATGGAAGTTATGGAAACTCTGTGTTGTATTTTGGGCGGATATTAAAAGTTAATTACATAATAACTACATAAGTATATATAAAGATGGGTAATTTACTTTTTTAATATCATGTGAAATGGAAAATAATTGGTAAAGCTATTATTTCTTCCTTTCCTATCTCCACAAACTTGGCCCTCCCTCTTTCCTGCCTGGAATACCCTAGAGCCTGCCTGCCTGCCCTTACCACTTTCACCTGAAGAAATTCTACTAGTTTAAGGCCCATTCATTTCATTTAGCAATCATCTGCTGTCTGATAAGTATGAGGCAAAGTATCTGTTGTCTGTTAAGTATGATGCAAAACACTTTACTGACACTGTGGGGAGCAACAAAAAGGATAGTTCTTGCCTTACACTGAGGTTCAAATGAAAAACAATCCTTTTACTAACATAACACACGACAAATGACATATACATTCCACATCCAAAGTTAACACAAAATTCAAACTTTCCTCCACTCTTTCCGCTTTTCTGAAAAAAGGTTACCAGACGGATTGCAAGTGAAAGACAATACATTATTAAAAATAACTTTGCCTTTATATTTGATTCTGAATTATATAAATGCTTGTCATGATTAAATAAAATTAAATCAGAATTTTTAACTCTAAAAAATCTGAAAGCAAAATCAACAGGAAAGTTTTAAGTGAATTTAAAATACAGTGATTTGATTATATATTCAAAATAGGATATACCCTAAGGAACAAGAAAAACAAGAAAAAAACTATTCACTTGTTATTATACTATTGGCTATTATTCTGAACTTTTTTATATAGATGCATATACATATATACACAAATACGTTATATACATACTACATGTATATGGCATAAAACAAATAAGTAATTACATTAATTTTGTTAGGAACCCAAGATTTTCAACTTAATAGAAGAAATGCAAATTATTAACTTCCTTATGCACAAAGCCCTTTAATCCTAAATTTGAGTATTAATATGAATACATGATGTATTTCCTCTTCAAAAATAAAATATGAAACAAACAAAAGTGTACTTGCAGTGCTAAAAAGGCCTAGAAACAATGATCAATCAGCAGCACTGAGCCCGAGTGCCCAGATAGTGGTTTCTAAACACCATTTTGCACCAAGGGAACAAAGGGCTTATTTATGAAACGGCTGATTCTAAGCTTAAGCAAGAAATGTACAAGAAAAGTCTAAGGCAGGCATGGTAGCTCACACCTGTAATCCGAACACTCTGGGAGGCCATGGTAGGCAGATCGCTTGAGGTCAGGAGTTCGAAACCAGCCTGGACAACATGGTGAAACCCTGTCTCTACTAAAAATACAAAAATTAGCTGGGCATAGAGGCAGGCACCTGTAATCCCAGCTACTCGGGAGGCTGAGGCAGGAGAACTGCTTTAACCCAGGAGGCAGAGGTTGCAGTGAGCCAAGATAGTGCCCTGCACTACAGCCTGAGCAACAGAGCAAGACTCTGTCTCAAAAAAGAAAAAAAAAAAAAAAGGGTCTGAAACATTTTATATCAGAAAGCAAGGAAGCTGGCTGGGCATAGTGGCTCACACCTGTAATTCCACCACTTTGGGAAGCCAAGGCAGGAGGATCATTTGAGGCCAGGAGTTTGAGACCAGCCTGGCTGACATAGTGAAATCCTGTCGCTACTAAAAATACAAAAATTAGCCAGGCGTGGTAGCACAGGCCTGTAACCCCAGCAACTCAGGAGGTTGAGGCAGCAGAACAGCTAACCCTGGAGGCAGAGGTTGCAGTCAGCCAAATTCGCCTTACTACACTCCAGCTTGGGCAACAAAGTGAGACTCCAACTCAAAAAAAAAAAAAAAAAAAAAAAAAGCAAGGAAGCCATCAGAAACTAAGGGGGTTATGTCAAAAGGACTCACGAGACAGCCTGAAGTGGCTCCTATTGGCCAAAAATAGGATAATTTGAGCATCAACAAGAATGATAACGGGCCGAGTGCAGCGGCTCATGCCTATAATCCCAGCACTTTGGGAGGCCAAGGCAGGTGGATCACTTGAGGTCAGGAGTTCGAGATCAGCCTGGACAACATGATGAAACCCGTCTCTACTAAAAATACAAAAATTAGCCAGGCATGCAGGCAGGTGCCTATAATCCCAGCTTCTTGGGAGGCTGAGAGGGGAATTGCTTGAACCCAGGAGGAGGAGGCTGCACTAAGCCCACATCATGCCCTGCACTCCAGCCTGGGCAACACAGCAAGACTCTGTCTCCAGAAAAAAAAAGTCTGAAATATCTTATACTAGAAAGCAAAGAAGCTGGCTGGGCGTAGTGGCTCACACCTGTAATCCCAGCACTTTGGGAAGCCAAGGCAGGAGATTCATTTGAGGCCAGGAGATCGAGACCAGCCTGGACAACATGGTGAAACTCTGTCTCTACTAAAAATACAAAAATTAGCTGAGTGTGCTGGTGTGGGACCATAATCCTAGCTACTCAGGAGGCTGAGGCAGGAGAATTGCTTGAACTGGGAGGCAGAGGTTGCAGTGAGCCAAGACTGCCTCACTGCACTCCAGCTTGGGCGACAAAGTGAGACTTCATCTCAAAAAAAAAAAAAAAAAAGTAAAGAAGCTATCCAGAAACTAATCAATAAGAATAATAACAGGCCGGGTGCAGTGGCTCACGCCTGTAATCCAAGCACTTTGGGAGGCTGAGGCGGGCAGATCACTTGAGGTCAGGAGTTCAAAATCAGCCTGGCCAACATGGCAAAACCCTGCCTCTACTAAAAATACAAAAATTAGCGTAGCCAGGCATGGTGGCGCACACCTGTAATCCCAGCTACTTGGGAGGCTGAGGTAGGAGAATTGCTTGAACCTGGGAAGTGGAGGTTGCAGTGAGCCAAGATTGCACCACTGCATTGCAGCCCCGGCGACGCAGCCCCAGCGACGCAGCCCCGGCGACAGAGCGAGACTCCGTCCAAAAAAAAAAAAAGAATAATAACTACAGTGAACTGAAACATCAAATAGGTTAAAATTCTGTTCCTAGTAATATTTTACAAAAATAAAAATGAAAGACATCTCACTACTTATCTTTGTAGGGTATCAGAGAATCAACATATTATTTGAAATTTGGTAAATGATAGGAGGGAAGGCCATCAGATATTCAATGTACCTTCATCTTGAAATATACTGCTCTACATTAAAAAAACATTAAAGGAACACATTTTTAAAAACATACCTTGTATCTTTTTAATTTCTGTACTTCTTCTTCAATAAGCATCTGATTTTTGGCAACTTCTGACTGAATAGCACTTAACATACTATTACCTTGATCTGTATCCATGGGTTCCTCCTTGGGGGAAGGAAAAGAAATAGCACACCCTAATAATTGAGGCTTACATTCAGAATATTTTAAAATAATAAACACAGTATGACTATTTTTGAATTTCTACTCTTCATATTGATAGCAGCATGCCAGCCTAACAGCAGCATTAAAGGATAAAAGCTCCAAAATTGTACCTTCCATATTTGTTTTAATAATATGAAATTTCATCTAAAAACAACCTACATTGTAATATACTATATTGCCATATTCTCCTAATACACTATAAAATAAATTTTCTTAAATATATTCTTAAGAAAATGTGATCAAAGGATGGTAAATAAACTTTTGTCTACTAAATCTCTTCTCCAATGACATTTACTACGGAAAGATAACCATAGACTAGTAAAGACTACATGTGACTCTAAATGTACTCAGTTAACTCTTTGAGAATTAACTTGCTTAATTATATAATGAAATCACAGAAAATAGTTAAAATAGTTCATTCCTAACACTTATTTAGCATTTACCATTTGTTAGTCATTAAGTGATTTACATATAATACCTCATTTACTCCTCATGACAGTCTTATGAGGTAAATACTACTTATTACCTTTATGCTATATGAAGAAACTGAGGCACAAGGAAATATACTCAAATTCCTATATCCACTAAGTGCAAAGTGAGGAACCAAATGAATCTAGGCAGCCTGATTTCAGAGTGTGTATTCGCTTAATCACCATTCAGACCACTTGATTATATATATATATTTAAAGTAAATACTATTCCTGAGAGAATAACCAAGCTAGAACTTTGTACTTAGAAACATGGCCACGAACCTCTGCAAGTTGTCGTTGTAACTCTGCTATCTTCTGTTCATATATCATTTTTCTGTCAGACACAATGGCCATTAAATTAAATCGAATTTCACCTTCACTGTACCTAGAAGAAAATTATTTAAGTTTATAATGCAATAAAGAATTGTACAATTATTACCATTAAGATAATCCATTGTGATTCCTCTCTTGATTTTCTAGTATAAACAAAAGTATATCAATTGGCTAACAATAAAAATGGACACTTTTAAAAAGTGTCAGGCACATAGGTGTGCATCTGTGGTCCCAGCTACTTGGGAGGCTCAGAAACGGGGAGGATCCTTTGAGTTTAGAAGTTGGAGGCTGCAGTGAGCTATGATAGAGCACTATACTCCAGCCTGGGTAACAGAACAATACCCTGTCTCTTAAAAAACAAAAAACAAACAAACAAAAAAAAAGCTTTCATATAGGAAAGACAACTATAGCAAAAAAAAAAAAAAAAAAAAAAAAAAAATTAGTTAAATTTCATCAATCACAAATGTTTTTCAAATGTTCTAAAATAATGTTAGTATCACTTAAAACATGTGAAATAAAAAATACTTTAATCAGTTTCCCTACCTTTATAAGAAATATGGCAACTCATTAACCTAAGAGCTCAGAAAAACACAAATGAATACTCCACATTTGTTAAATTAATTAGACTGGCATCTTGATTGGAATTAACTATGCTCCTTTATATAATTTTTCCCAAGTCATGATGAACTTTCTATTTTTAATTTACATATTTTAAATTTTATCTTATCATATGTAAATAAATATAACATATTTTATTAATATAATGTATAATTATATCGTATAGTAAAACTTCCAAATGTTTGATTTTCACTACTCTGATATCAATGAAGCATTTCATAACATAAGCTTGTTCATGGTAGCAACTGACATTAAAAGCATTATTTGTAACACTATGTAAATGGCACTGAGATGAAAATATATAGAAAATGTAGAAAATGTAAGCCCATTTTGCATTAGTTTATCTCTAAGAGTTTCTCATACACAGCTCTATTCACTGAAAAGAACATGGCCCAATATAACTATAGTGCTTTGAACTATGTAAAAATGTTTTTAAAACACTGATTGTGGGACTTCATGTCCCTATTCCTGCCATTAAGTACAACAAAAAACCCTGGACATAATATGTTTTTTAAAAAGAGCAACCAAGAACATTCTGAAAGATAGAAAAAGGCAGACAAGGTGGGGAACTCAGGAACCAAGAATGATACAATAGTGAATTCCCTGAGGTTTTTTTCTGCCTCATATATCCCAGACTTGGAGCTGAAGAAACCAGCAACCCAGAAATACCAACAGATACAGACAAAAAAGCCCCAACAAAAGTCTGCTCTCTCTAGCCAAATAGAAAAGGTGCAGCCTCAGAAGACAGAAAACTTTTAGACAATAATCATTCTACTATAGCCAAACATGACTGAAAAATCTGTGACCTCACCCCTACTCAAAACCAGTAAAAGTAGAATAGTGAGCCTGGACTTCCAACCTTGTTTCCAACCTATAACAAGACTCCTAGGTTGGTATTAAAAAAGGCTGGGTAGGGAATGGGGACTTTCATCCCCGCCATGTGGTAATGACAACACCTATTTGTGGTATCAGAGGACACAGGATGGGAAGCTAAAATTGCCACTACCATCCAGTGGCAAAGCAGCCTCTCCCACTTCAGTATGAGTGGAAAGCAATAGCAAGGCACTTCTACCCCTCTCAGCCAGAGTGGTATTAATAGAAACCCTGCTGGGGGCTAGAACTCCTATCTCTGCCCAGCAATAACGAGAAGCCGGCCGGGCGCGGTGGCTCAAGCCTGTAATCCCAGCACTTTGGGAGGCCGAGGCGGGCGGATCACAAGGTCAGGAGATCGAGACCACAGTGAAACCCCGTCTCTACTAAAAAAAAAATACAAAAAATTAGCCGGGCGCGGTGGCGGGCGCCTGTAGTCCCAGCTACTCAGGAGGCTGAGGCAGGAGAATGGCGGGAACCCGGGAGGCGGAGCTTGCAGTGAGCCGAGATAGCGCCACTGCACTCCAGCCTGGGCAACAGCGTGAGACTCCGTCTCAAAAAAAAAAAAAAAAAAAAAAAAAAAAAAAATAACGAGAAGCCTTATTCCATTTCAGCTGTCACTGAAGGCCTAGTAGGGAAGTTGGACTTCTACTCCCATCTAGCAGTAATGAGGTGGCACCCACAATTTACCCTGTCAGAGCCATGTCCATAAAAACCAGCTCACACAGAAATTTTAAATAAGATCCAAAGTTGAGGGGGGCACCCAAGATGGACGAATAGAACACCTCCAGCCTCCAGCTCCCAGCGTGAGCGACACAGAAGACGGGTGATTTCTGTATTTTCAACTGAGGTACCGGGTTCATCTCACTGGGGCATGTCAGACAGTAGGTGCTGGTCAGCAGGTGCAGCCTGACCAGCAAGAGCTGAAGCAGGGCCAGGCATCGCCTCACCTGGGAGGCGCAAGGGGGAAGGGAATTCCTTTTCCTAGCGAAGGGAAACTGAGACACACAACACCTGGAAAATCAGGTAACTCCCACCCTAATACTGTGCTTTACCAAGGGTCTTAGCAAATGGCACACCAGGAGATTACATCCCACACCTGGCCCAGAGGGTCCCATGCCCACAGAGCCTTCCTCATAGCTAGCACAGCAGTCTGAGATCTAACTGCAAGGCAGCAGTGAGGCTGGGGGAGGGGCGCCCACCATTTCGGAGGCTTAAGTAGATAAACAAAGCCTCTCGGAAGCTCAAATTGGGTGCCCACCACAGCACAAGGAGGCCTGCCTGCCTCTGTAGACTCCACCTCTGGGGACAGGACATAGCTAAACAAAAAGCAGCAGAAACCTCTGCAGATGTAAATGTCCCTGTCTGACAGCTTTGAAGAGAGCAGTGGTTCTCCCAGCACGGAGGCTGAGATCTGAGAACGGACAGACTGCCTGCTCAAGTGGGTCCCTGACCCCTGAGTAGCCTAACTGGGAGACATCCCCCAGTAGGTGCAGACCGACACATCACACCTCACACAGCTAGGTACACCTCTGAGACGAAGCTTCCACAGCAAGAATCAGACAGCAACACTCGCAGTTCAGCAATATTCTATCTTCTGCAGCCTCCACTGCTGACACCCAGGCAAACAGGGTCTGGAGTGGACCTCAAGCAAACTCCAACAGACCTGCAGCTGAGGGTCCTGACTGTTACAAGGAAAACTAACAAACAGAAAGGACACCCACACCAAAACCCCATCAGTACATCACCATCATCAAAGACCAAAGGCAGATAAAACCACAAAGATGGGGAAAAAGCAGGGCAGAAAAGACGGGAATTCAAAAAATCAGAGCACATCTCCCCCTCCAAAGGAACGCAGCTCATCGCCAGCAACGGAACAAAGCTGGAGGGAGAATGACTTTGAGGAGTTGAGAGAAGGCTTCACGCCAAACTTCTCAGAGCTAAAGGAGGAACTATGTACCCAGTGCAAAGAAACTAAAAACCTTGAAAAAAGAATGGATGAATGGATAACTAGAATAATCAATGCAGAGAAGACCATAAAAGAACTGATAGAGATGAAAGCCATGACACAAGAACTACGTGACAAATGCACAAGCTTCAGTAACCGACTCGATCAACTGGAAGAAAGAGTATCAGTGATTGAAGATCAAATGAATGAAAAGAAGCGAGAAGAGAAGTGTAGAGAAAAAAGAGAAAAAGAAATGAACAAAGCCTCCAAGTAATATGGGATTATGTGAAAAGACCAAATCTACATCTGACTGGTATGCCTGAAAGTGACGGGGACAATGGAACCAAGTTGGAAAACACTCTGCAGGATACCATCCAGGAGAACTTCCCCAACCTAGTAAGGCAGGCCAACATTCAAATTCAGGAAATACAGAGAACGTCACAAAGATACTCCTTAAGAAGAGCAACTCCAAGACACATAATTATCAGATTCACCAAAGTTGAAATGAAGGAAAAAAATGTTAGGGCAGCCAGAGGGAAAGGTTGGGTTACACACAAAGGGAAGCCTATAATACTAACAGCAGATCTCTCGGAAGAAACTCTCCAAGCCAGAAGAGAGTGGGGGCCAATATTCAACATTCTTAAAGAAAAGAATTTTCATTCAGAAATTCATATCCAGCCAAACTAAGTTTCATAAGTGAAGGAGAAATAAAATCCTTTACAGACAAGCAAATGCTTAGAGATTTTGTCACCACCAGGCCTGCCCTACAAGAGATCCTGAAGGAAGTACTAAACATGGAAAGGAAAAACAGGTCCCAGCCATTGCAAAAACATGTCAAAATGTAAAGTCCATCGGTGCTAGGAAGAAACTTCATCAACTAGAGAGCAAAATAACCAGCTAATATCATAATGACAGGATCAAGTTCACACATAACAATATTAACCTTAAGTGTAAATGGACTAAATGGTCCAATTAAAAGACACAGACTGGTAAATTGGGAAAAGAGTCAAGACACATCAGTGTGCTGTATTCAGGAGACCCATCTCACATGCAGAGACACACATAGGCTCAAAACAAAGGGATGAAGGAAGATCTACCAAGAAAATGGAAAGCAAAAAAAAGCAGGGGTTGCAATACTAGTCTCTGATAAAACAGACTTTTAAACCATCAAAGATCAAAAGAGACAAAGAAGGCCATGACATAATGGTAAAGGGATCAATTCATCAGGAAGAGCTAATATCCTAAATATATATGCACCCAATACAGGAGTACCCAGATTCATAAAGCAAGTCCTTAGAGACTTACAAAGAGACTTAGACTCCCATACAATAATAATGGGAGACTTTAACACCTCACTGTCAACATTAGACAGATCAACGAGACAGAAAGTTAACAAGGATATCCAAGAATTGAACTCAACTCTGCACCAAGCGTACCTATTAGACATCTACAGAACTCTCCACCCCAAATCAACAGAATATACATTCTTCTCAGCACCACATCACACTTATTCCAAAATTGACCACATAGTTGGAAGTAAAGCACTCCTCAGCAAATGTAAAAGAACAGAAATTATAACAAACTGTCTCTCAGACCACAGTGCAATCAAACTAGAA